GGTGCTTGATCTGTGCATATTTCTCTCCTGATTCAGACAAAATGATTTTTCTCACTGGACAAAGTAATATGGGTATGGATAGAGGAAGCAATGGCTTGATGTTACAAACATCTTAATTATGATTTGCTTATTACATAAACACAGCTTTTGGCTTCACAAGATGCTAACTGATGGACTGGAGTCCTGTGGATTACGTGTGGATTATTGTGATGTTTTTATCAGCTGTTTGGACTCTCATTCTGACGGCACCCATTCACTGCAGAGGATCCACTAGCGAGCAAGTGATGCAACATTTCTCCATATGAGGAAACAAACTGACCTATATCTTGGATGGCCTGAGAGTGAGTAAATGTTCACTTTTGGGTGAACTATTAATTTAAGGACGCTTAAAATGTAGGTATTTATTTATTTATTTTACAACTTTGGGTAAAAGCCATTATTGCGCACATTTATGTAAATTTCAAATTATATAAATTAAATTGAAAACCCAACTTTAGGGTGTAATGGTTGTTATTTAAATGTGTTGTATAATTGTTGTTGATCAATGAAAAAAAAAGTAGTAATGGGAAAGGGGAATTTTTAATTAATTAATTAATTTACTTACTTATTTTAATATAATTGTATTTTTAGGTATAGATTTTTAGGGGGGAAATACATAACATAAATACATCATTCCAGAAAATGCGTGCAGAAGAAGTGAAGCCGATGTTTGTCACGTGACGGGGGCGTGTCCTCTCGAGTGAAGGGAAGCGGGCCCGTGTCACGTGACGGGGGAAATAGGGAGGCTCTTGTGTTTACATCAATGCATTCAACAGCGGCTGCTGCAGAGCGTCTACACATCAATGTTTTGCTTTCATTTCTTTAAAAACGAGCACGATCATCGGTACACACGGCAGTTCCGACCGCGTCCGGGCGTAGCGCCGCTGTGCGATAAAGAGAGAGCGCCTCTGCTGCAGCTGTGATCGGTTGTGTATTAGATTACTGGCGTCATGGACGAGCTCGCGGTGGAAGTGCGAGGAGCGAGCGGAGCTTTCTACAAGGTGGGCTTCAGATCTCGTGCTGTATGCCTCCTGTGTGAGTGTCTAACTCACCTGATGATGAAAATAGTGTTTGGAAAATATGATTCAGTCCGTCGTGAACGCAGATCTCAATGCACGATGGTGCAGTAGGCCCAGTCTGCCTATAACACAAGGCCTCTTCGACGAGTGTTTGCGTGAACAGGCTTTAAACATTCATCGCAATAATTTGATAGCATGCATATTATTAATGCATATCGGCTGTGTTGACACCAGAATGTGACAGTGTGCTGGCTCGGCTCGGTTCTGTTCGGATGTGTGTATAGTGAACCGAGTCCTCCACTTAATGATTTAAATGTATTTCATTGTACATAATAAAAACATCTTTATGGCTCTAGACCTAATGGAAATGGTATTAATAGTAATTCATATTTTTCCTGAATGTTTTCAAATGCCATCATCCATACGTTCTAGGCAACGAAGTTATGATATGTGTGTATATATATATATATATATATATCT